AGCCGGTTGAGAACTCAGCTTCTGTTGTCGCATGCATTGTCAAGCTACGTTGCAGTGATGAGAGGTTGAAAGGTATCGCGTTGACAGCTGACTAGTGATACCAGTGGTTGTACCATATATGAACTAAGGCAAGCACAAGGGCAAGATGCCTTTGGCGAGCCCTGCTCCTGTACCCGCAGGACTGGATGCTCGCACATGCACATGACCAACCTATCTATGGAAAAGACGCAAGCTCACTACCTTGCTCGGAGCAACGGACCAGTTTTTGCAGCCTGCTTCTCAAACACAGGACGACAGCTGAGAATTTGGACGGTCAGCCGCGTTAGTTTCCGCTGTCGTGCGCCAGCTTGGCAACTCGTGGTGGCACATGTGGACATCTCCTTGGCCAGGGCGTGGTGCCTCCTCGATTCAAGGTTGGTTCTGAGGCTTGTTGCAGCCGCGGAGCCCCAGCATGCCAAGCAGTGTGCACAAAAGTGCAGGCAGTCGCGCCGCAGAAGCTCATGACAGCAACGCCAAAGATGCGAAGTATGGCGCAGTCCGGTTGCATTAGACTCTGGCATGCGCTGCTGGCAGCCCTTGATCAATAGGAAGTCAAGCATGGATTGCTCACAGGAGAAAGCAGGTTTCAGCCCCAGATCTTCTTTTCTGCGCACGCGAAGCAATACAGAATACAACGGTTCCGGCACATCGCTCAGATGCTGCTCAAATCAAGCTCGAAGGTGCGCTCGTCTTGTGGCACCGTGTCGATTGTAGGGCACCCTGCTTGCGCGAGGCGTCCTCCATAGCAGTGGCGAGAAGCCTGCTTCCTCGAGCGGCGATGTCCAAAGCCGCTGCGAAAGCTCCCGGGAGGTTCATGCTGGTCCCCGCCAGGATCGTGGCAAAGCCAGGCCGTCTCGCGGCTGCGACGTCAAAGGCCTCTTCCCAGGCGACGTCAAAAGCCGCCGGCAAGCTTGCCAAGGCCTACCCAAAAGGCCAGGGCCCCACAACGAGGCCTCAGGATGCCTCAAGCAGACGTGGGCTTGAGTATTCGGAGGCCTGGCCGCAGCACAGCCGAAGGTCCAACTGTTTCTGTGGCTCGCCACGGCCATGTCCTTTGACCTCCCCTGCAGTGAGAGGTGCCGGGCGCCGGACGCCGTGTTGCGAAAGGCTTTTCGAAGGCTGGTGTTGCGACGTCCATGATGAATTTGAATCAGCCACAAGGGTCAGGAACAGCGATCTTGATCACAGTATGTGCAGCAGCGGACCGGGAAGACTTAGACTTCCTGCGCAAAAACAGGCAGCTTCGGCGGCACGGTCTGGCTGGGCACTCAATTCTGGGATGCCGGGGTCAAGAAAATGAGTCTTGACGTGCCAAGGAAAGGTCACCATGTTTGCTGGAAAGGCTGTCCATGGCTGTCCCGCACACTGTTTGGGCTGAAGCAAAGCGACTGATCAGGCCTTTGCTCTTCCTCCATGGAGGGGTGGGGCCAAAAAAGTTGCCGCGAAGGTCAAGGCAAGGCGGTCTGCATTTGTGCCGAATCCGAATCGGAAGCGAGAGCACCAAAGCTGCACCAAAGCTTCTGCTCAGAATTCCGGCTACTCTCGTGCTCTCGACTCCGGCTCAAGAGTGGAGTGCCGCCTGTCGCAGTCGCCCCCGCATCTGTCTGGTGCTCGGCATCTTAGACGCATCGGCGGGTCTCGTTTTTATGGGCGTCTGAAAAGGAATGCACTAGCATCTCACCACTTTTCATCCAAGGCCTGGCAACACGGCCTTGCTCATGCCGAGCGACATGGCAGCTCCTTCGCCACGAATGGCCATGACTGCATCAGTAGTGCTTAGATGTTGTTGGTGTTGAGATGTGTGCAGCAGAGCCCAGCTGTTATCCTTGTCCGACTAGTCTTCTGCAACAGAGGACAATCTCGAGTAGGAAAGATCCTCATCCCTTCACGCAACGCGGCTGTCACATCTGAGAAGGCATTTGGGTTCGAGATGAGGGATCCCACCTCTGCCTTCGTTGCGAATGCGTGCATGAAATCTTTAGAGTCAGATGGTGCTGCCGAGATATCTCCGCTTGTCCGTGAACTTTGTGCGTTTTTGGTGCGAGCCTCGGGACTACAGTCCAGTCTTGAAGCGTTCATGATTGAGCAGTGCAAAGAGTTCCAAGATGCTAGCCTGACTGGAGAGCAGAAGCTGCATTGGACAGATCTACACAAGAGATATGTTGAGCTGGCTGAAGAGCAACTAGATGAATTTCTCCGGGAACGTGAAGCCACTGCAGGCGAGTTGGCACAGACCTTGCAGTCATCGCTTGGCAAGTCGATGTGGTCTTTGCCGCTCCTGCAGAGCCTGGATTACACAGCTTTCGCTGCACAGATGATTGCCCTCTCCTCCGGACCACAGCTAAGAGCTGAGGCTGCTGCCTCCTCGGGTCTGCTTGGTGGAGTCTGGAAGCCAGAAAAGCCAGATCCAAGGAGCCTTGAGCGATTTCTGAAAGCTCAAGGAGTGCCATGGATTCTGCGCCGCCTGCACGTCTTTGCCACGATCCGAGAGATCTGTGTGGTGGAGATGCCCGGCACGGTGCCGATCTTTACGATTTGGGAGTCTCGGAACCATGGCTTTGGCGTGTGCATGAGCCAGGTGATTGCCGATTCTGTTGAGCGTAATGATGGTTGCTTGAACACCAGAGCGTGGTTAGAGGATTCGGACTTGCACGTCGTGCAAAGCCCAGACGGCACAACTGGAGTCGAAACCACATATACTGTCTTGAATGATGGGAAGTCCTTGCACATTCGACGGGAGCTGTGGGGCCCAAGCCGCGACAATCAGAGCTGCGCCTTCGCACAGCAATTCGTAAAATGCGAGCCTGGTAATGGTTTGAGCGAGGACAATCATGCCTTCCAGTACGGTCTGAAAGTGGAACGTGAGAAGGCCAGCCCAGAGCGGGCTAGTGCAGAGTCCCAGCACATACCGGCTCCGCCAGAATCGCCGCCTGCCCGGCAGAGTCCATATGCGAAGGCGCCCGCTCCACTGCTACCCTCTGCGCCTCCCGGGGCGCCATCCCGGCAACCTCTTGCGCGCCGGAGATTTCAGCGACCCATGGCTCCGGCCGCGTAAGAGGACGACGTCTGTTTTCCTACTACTACTACTACTACTACTACCATTGCTCCTGGACTATTGTGCATGATTTCCGACTCGCTAGCGCACGAGCCAAGAATTCCAGGCCGTGCAAGGTCGTTTGATGTGTTTCGACGGGTGTGAGCGCTGCGTATTGTAACAGCCAGCGGAAGATTTCACAGCACCTGGCATCTACGACACGCTCAACTTTCCACTCATCTCGGATTAATCATCAGACAACTCGTATACTTCGCAGAAGGCAGCGACGCACGCCCTGCTTTTCAGGCATGCAACTTGCAAAGCAGTTGTATGGAGCCAGGACGCGCCGTAGAATTCCTGCAGTCGTGAGATCCTGGACAAGTCCTAGCGTCAGCAAGGCTGATGGAGCCCAAACCCAGCTCCAAGCTCGCCCTTCCTCTCCTGGTGGGATGAGTCACAGCTTTCTGTGAGACAGTCGCCTGTGTCGTCCAAGGAATGGAAGCTCTCCCAGCCGCGGACTAGGAGTGCAAGTGCTGTCCTAAGACTTTCTTCACGGTGTGGATGCGTGGATGTGAGGAGCTCCGAGAGAGAGCAAGAAAGAGAGATTAAGACGCGTTACTTTTCCGTTTTGCAGGTGCTGCATCGGCTGAGCTGCTGAGCTGTCTGCGTAGTGTCTTGTTCCATTCAGACAGTCTGCAGAAGTCTGCAGCGAGATGTTACTCGTACTTTATTGAGCAAGCGGGATTCCCCTGCGACAGTTCTCGAAGAGCGGTGTGAAAGGGTTCTGCCAGTGTTCATGTTGCACCAGCCGCAATGCTGAAGTGTGGAATTTGCAAAAATCAGTAACATGTCAGCGCCAGGCCAAGCCGGGCGACGAGGATAGACACTGTCGCCCAAGCTATGTGGCGGTATCTTGTACATGTTCGGACGTCTTGGAGACACTTGCTTGACATGAGATAGTGATGCAGGACGATTACGATCCGTTCTCGGAGGAGCCTGCTCCGCACGTTGCAATGGAGAAGGCTGGGAATGAGGGCACGTTCACAAGCTCTCGATCATACTTGCAAACGATTCGCGTCGTCTGCCTCGGGATGCAAAGGCTGGTGGGGAAACGGTGTCGGATTTCTATTCGAAATCCAGTGGATGATGTGAAATTTCACAATCGTGCAATGGGTCCTGGCAATGAGTCCACGGACTGGAGGCTGGGGGAGGGCGGGCTGGGGGCACTCTAGAGGGGCTGGGATCGCTCGGGAGAGGCTGAAGAGCAGGGAAACAGGAGGTCCGTGCGAACCTGTGTCCGCTTCGGCCGGAACAACTCCCACGTCTCTGCCTTTGTAAGACCCGGCAGCCGATGTTGATGTTCAGTGCCGTTGAACGGTGTCATTTCACATTCAGAACGAGTGGGTTTGACTCTTTGTCAGAAGTGCTGCCTTTTTCGGAACTGAGTCGTAGCAAAGCGTTCATGCTGAAGCCTGTAGCTCTTTCACTCCGGAAGCTGGCCGACGAGCTTTTGGTGCCGGTCTTTAGCTCGCTGAGGAGTTTCGGAAGGCCGCGCGCCGAGCGGCCCGGAGCTTGGCCAGGCAGCAGATGGCAGCAGCATCAAAACGAAGGCGAGGGAGGAGTGAGGCATGCACGTAGCGAGCGCACCCGGAAACCCCCAGGCGGCTGCGGCGGGTAAGCTTGACTCGGTGGAGTGGCGGCCGCAGGCTTCTGAACTCGACCGGTTTCGGTGCCGTCCTCTCGCACAATTACACTGCTCTGTGATGCTGCAAGCGCCTGTGCTGAAAGCACTTTATGTCGACCTTGCTGGACGACACAGCCGTCTCATCATGTCGCATCTAAGTCTGATGTCCAGCTCTTGTTCTACTTAAGCAGCTTGGAAGGACTGCTTTTGATAAGCGTGGAACAACCTGAGCCTCGCCGAGCCATGGGCAAGAAACGCGTTGTGACGAGCCCTCGGCCGCCGAGCCGCGTCTTGGAAGTGCCAGGACTTCTCCCTCGAGCGCAGACCGCCGCGAAGGCCGCCGTCCAGGCCGCCACTCCGGCCCAGTCATCGGAGTCCTTAAAGCGGCCGCCTGGAAAAAAGAAGAAAGGCAAGACAGGCTCATCGGACTTGCCCTCTGGCAAGGTGCCTGATGCTAGCGCTGGTGCGCCCAGCAACGAGGCAGCAGAGCCCACAAAAGTTGACTCTGAGGACGAGCGTCCGGCCCCACGTGTTTTGCAAATTCCTGGAAAAGGGAATCGTGGATCAGAGAAGCGCCGCTTCATGTCCGACAAGGTCTCTAGCATCCGCTCAAAGCCACCAGCAGCAAAGCAGAAGGCACGCAAGGGCAAGAGCACCCCGGACCAGGAGGACTCAGCAGAATTCAAGAAAGCCTTGAAAGATGTCTTGAATTTCGTGATGCCACAGCTTGGAAAGTCCGAGCGAATTCAATATGAAAAGGCAAAGATCCGCGCTCTTGGTGGTACACCAGACAAGCCACAATATGAGCCGTATGCCTCCCTGCAGCGGAGGAAGAAGGCTGAGGAGGCCGCACGACAGCGGAGGCTCGCGGAAGAGAAGTTACTCGGCGTTTCGCTGTCCGCCACGCAGCAACGCCGAGGAGCGTCTGCGGATGGTGTTACAAAGCGAAAGAAGGAAGCACTCTTGGCCAAGAAACGCCGCAAAGAGAACGACATCCTGGGTGTGGGAGCGAAGGAAAGTAAAGGTATGGTGATCATTCCAAAGAACAAGGCGAAATCCTATGCCTAGCGACATGCAGCGACCCAGTGTTGGTCCCCAACACATCCTTCATGCTGCTGACCTTCCTCACGGTGACCCAATCTCGAGGTGCACGCCGAGTACGCCAGCGGAATGGTTCGGTGCAGGGCAAATGCCCGCATCCCAAAACTCCGAAGAAGTGACTGCCGCAGAAAGACAGTATCCGCCCGAAAAAGGATGCAACGATCTCATGTGCACAGAGCAGACGGCAGATTCGGTGCAGACCGCTCCGGGCAGGGAGATCCCATCCTCGGGGTGGTCGGGCCACCGCCGAAGCGCCAGGCAGGGACTCGTGATTCCAGGACAGAGAGAAACGGAGCAGACGTGAGAAGACCTTACCTGCCGAGGGCTCGAACGGCGTGGCGCCTGCACAAGCCAAGCGCCGCGCCGTGCCGCGCACTGCCATTGCCTGGCTGAGACGGCTCAGTGTGCAGAACGAAGGCCAGGGCCAGGGCAACCTTTACCTGGTGCGAGGAAATGTTCCGGAGCTCTGAATTCGCAGGTGCCGCGCAAGCCGAGGACAATTTACATTTTGCTATACTGTTGCATGTGGTATAGCCGTGACTGTAGGTGCTTGCATGAAGTTCTGACGTCGAGGAAATGCCGGAAATTTGTGCTGTGAGGAATACTTCCGCAAAGAAGAGATGCAGCCTGCCAAGAAGCAGAAGACCGATGCTGTCAACAGAGGCACATCCCAGCCGTTCGGTGTTGCAGCGAGCCGAGTTCGCGCTTGATGCAGTTTCTGGCAGGCTTTGTCAAAGAGCTTCTTGACAAGGCAAAGGGTTTCGATCCTCAGGCGTCTGTGCTGATAGCATCAGGCCTGTCTAAGGAAGTGGAAGTCGTGTGCTAGAGTCTGCCATCATGTCAGACGCCATCGACGCTGCAAACGCTGCTGGCCCAGTATGTCGCATGCAGACACGGATCGTAGAGGCTTCAGCCGAAATCTTACATGACAGGTTTGCGCCTGTGATTCATTGCGATATCATCTTAAGCTTGGTCGGATGCTTTCACCACCAGAAGCTCTTCTGATGTGGTGAGGTGTAGAAGTCTGCTGGTTTTCTTGGAGAAGAAGCTGGAGGACGCCGTGACGCCTTCGTGATGATAGTGTGTCTGAAGAATGTGCCAGCAGACTCTGCGCTAGACAGGTTCTTCTAAGGGCCACACACGCACCTAAGTTACCGGTTTGGAGGCTCACCAATTTCACGAATGATGTAAGCTAGCCCGTCTTGCCTCGCCGCACGGAAGAGACGAAGGAAGGGGGTGGGGGGTGGGGGGAAGGCTGATTTCCTTCTGGTGCTGCCAACTTTGTCTGCTCTGAATCCATGCCTGCCAGCAAGTCAAGACAGTGCTAGGAGTTTTCGGAAGCCGGGATTATATGGAAGGAAAAATGGGCCCTGAACCTATGTGTGTGAGCAGAAGTCAAGACAATATATGCCTCTGAGAATGACATTCAGGAGCCATGTAGAGACCTGAAAGTCACTTTCAGACGCATACCTTCACTGTCTTGACTTCTGCTGGCAGGCGTGCGCGGCGACTTATCAACGTGTGACCTAATAGGGCTCTCATACGAAGGCGCTAAGCTGGAATCGTTTGTAACTCGGCAGCACGTGTTAGACGCGGGGAGGCACAGCGCGAGTGAGCGCTGCAGCTTTCCGATGCCAGAATGCTGCAGAGTCGGAAGCAGTCAGTGGAAGGGGGGCATATTGTTAGCTGTTGATCCATTTGAAAACCTTTTGCTATTTTGGTTCCAGCCATTGACACTGCTATTGCAGCAAGTATGTTACTGCACATAGTGGTTGGTCTTGTTTTATGATGAACTTGTACCTCGACTTATCGTTTTTGCGATATCTCTGCAGCCAGCAGCTCTGGCCAGCAGGCGACGTTGCCCGAGCCACCAGCCGTCGGTGGGCCCGAGGCCTGTCACTTGGCGTTCGGGATTGCGGGCCGCGGGTTTCGGGGGGCTGACTCAGAAGTGCAGGAGACTGGGAACAATGGTGATGCGACGTGAGTGATGTGATTGATATGGTATGATATGGTCGTGATTGATATGGTCCGAGGGTGCAGCACCATCCATCAGGAGTCTCGTTAGTTCGGGAGTTCGGGGTATTCTGTGGTGGGAGTGTAGCTTGTGACTCTCCTCAAAGTCGCAATCACAACTGCTGAAATTCTGTTTGATTCATTGCTATCCCGAACCTCGAGTTCCTCAACCCGCAACCGTAAGAATCAAAAGGTTGTCTTCGTTTCAGTGCCTCAAATGCCAGGGCCTCCGGCCGCGTTTGGCGACTCATGCGGAAAGCCTGGGTCGTGCGCCATTGAGTGTTGGCATTTAGGCACAAGACGCCATCACGATGACTATCTGTAAGAAAACATCAGCAAGAAGAGCAGCCACAGTGATGAAGCACTCCTCGTGACAAGCCAAGTGCGCGCACCATTTCGCATGCCCCTGCGAGGTATGGAGACTTTGAGGGCGCCCAGTGGCTGGGATGCTCGAGCTAAGCGTGTGCCTGCTGGGACGGGCTGGGCAGCGATCGAACTCTTCCACTTCCTCATTCCTAACGTGATTGATCTGATCCTCGCTAGAGAATGCCAGGTGCTTGACATTGCGGCCATTGCAGCCTCTGCTCCTGGAGAGGTTTCGACAGCCCGCGGTCTAGAGGAAACCGAGTCTGAGTCGGCAAGACCGTGTGGAGGCGGCCCTTGGGGCCCTGCAGGAGGCACTGCAGAAGGCGGGCCTTTCATCCAGATTCTGGCCGTCCGTCCTTGACCGCTGCGATACAGAAACTTGAAAGTCTGGCCGCTAGGAGTCACAGGAGCTTCAGGAAAAGCTCAAGGACCGGGCCATGCTCTGTCTCTCCACTGTTTGACGCCGGAGACTACGTAGAGGATCTCAAAACTTCGATGTGATCTTCTTGAGGAGTCTTCAGAAACGTTGGAGAACGTCTTGACGGAGCGGCGGGCATGGGCCAAGGAGATCTTCCAAGTGCTTTCACTGTGGAGGCTTCATCAGTATGACCATTCCTCTAACGGACTCTAACGACTGCAGCTGCAAGTCTTGTCACCATTCTCGCAAGGGTTGCTGCCGTTGCTGATACCGTAGCAACCGACACCTCCACCCACCCCACCCAATGCCGCTAACCCTCACACCTACCACCAAAACAACCACCAAAACCACCAAAACCACCAAAACCGCCGCCGCCACCGCCGAGGCAAGCATGTTGAGGGTTGCGCGGCAGCTCTTCGTCGATTGCCGAAGAGCAGCAACAACTGTAAAAGAACAACAGAGCACACGGCTGGTTTCGACTGCCAAAAACTGGCAGCAGATATCTGCGACAACATATTTTGCAAAGCGCAATGTTTCAGTCGCTACCGCAGCTTGAACGATGCTGGTGCTCATGATGGCGGTGAGAAGAATAACCAGGATGAGGACAATGAATTGAACGGCTATGGTCTACGGTGGGTCACGATGACCCCAAGATGAGCCTGTCATGATGATGGTGATTTAATATTTAACTGTTTTTTCATGCCCCTCTTCTGGGTTTGAGGTGGTGATGGTGGTCGTGGTGATAGCGCTAGTTTTTTAGTTTTCGTCTTTGTCTTCGTGGTCGTCTATTTTACGGTCGTGATTGTTGCTGTTGCTCTGGCGATGGTTGTGGTCACGGTTGGACTTTGTTGGCACGACCTGACTGCGGGTGTGGTTGGTGGCGGCAGTAATTGTGGTAGTGGCGCAGCCGTCGTGGTGGTTGTGGTGTTTGAGGCAGCAGTGGCATGGGCGCAGTGGTGGTGGTGATGCTGGTGATGATGATGCCAGTGGCCGAGGCGACTGTTGTTCGATGGTGTCGTTGCCGTTGCTGCTCATGCACATCTAGCTGTAGCAACGGCTGTTGCCCGCTGGTTTTGATTTGTTGTCAGATGCGGCGCAACTTACATTTCCCCTCTCCTTGTTGAGCTTTGGAATTGCATGGAGCGGCCTTTGGATGCATCTCGTGCAGGACGCAGTGAGGCGAGATTGGCTTACCTGGTGCGAAAGGCTGCTCAAAGCCGGGTCCACAGATCTGAGGGGTGTACTGAAGCTTCCTTGGAAGCGAGTGGCCGTTCGAGACCCAGAGCTCAGTCCCTTGTGAGAGTGCTTACGTCTCGAAAGCGTGGGATTTGACAGGGCCAAAGCTGAACAGCTGTCACGCACTGCTGGCATCAGGCAGATGTGATCACTCCGAGCGAAGATACGTCAAACTGTTTCGAGCATGCGCCTGCATCCGGCTCATGGCCAATGCAATAAGAAAGTTCTCCAGCGGTGTTTGTAGGTCAGGTTAGTTACGGTTAGTTGTCGCGGTGCGAAGATGCAGCCAGGCCAAAAACGCATGTTTCGTATCTTGGCCGTGGCCAGAGCGCGGCTCTGGCCGGTGAGTTGAGCCACCCGCAAATAGCACTGCAACTGGCTACTTCTCCACCATACAGACGACTCGGCGTCCAGTTCACCCGCTCTGTAAACTCCCGTCGCGTGCAATGGCTATGTGAATGTGCATCGATCTCACGGTCGCCCGCGGTGTGCATTCCAAGTCTGCTTGTCGTCCACTTTGCCGAGGCTCGGGAGGCAAAGCTCCTTGCAGAGCTTGGCGAGAAGGTCACAAATTGGAAGTTTCAAGCGCTCTCAACGCACTGGCAGCGGACAGGGCTCTTCTCTGCGCCAGGAAGAGGCATCAGAGATCCTGAACACTGGGGTGGACATCCTTGAGGTGCTTAGCGGTTTACTTCTGTTGAGAATCAACGAGACGGCCAAGGGCCTAGATCGTGCCAGGCGTTAGTGGCCGGCACCACTGCCTGAAGTCGCGTCGATGCTGCAGACGGCAGATATCTCCAAGAAATAAAGAGTCATGTGGGCACTTGTCTGCGAAAGTCCATGTCCTGGCAGTGCGGAGAGAGCGCGAGAGAGATTCAGAGTGACTAGGCTGCAGACCCACAAAGCCACGAACTGCTGGCAGCTTCCTTCAGCA